ACGAACGAACGAACGAACGAAACGAACAACGAACGAACGAACAAACGAAACGACGAACGAACGAACGAAGAACGAACGAACGAACGAACGAACGAACGAACGAACGAACGAAAGAAACGAACGAACGAACGAACGAAACGAACGAACGAACGAACGAACGAACGAACGAACGAACGAAGAACGAACGAACGAACGAACGAACGAACGAACGAAGAACGAAAACGAACGAACGAAACGAAACGAACGAACGAACGAACGAACGAACGAACGAACGAACGAACGAACGAACGAACGAACGAACGAACGAACGAAGAACGAAACGAACGAACGAACGAACGAACGAACGAACGAACGAACGAACGAACGAACGAACGAACGAACGAACGAAAACGAACGAACGAACGAACGAACGAACGAACGAACGAAAACGAACGAACGAACGAACGAACGAACGAAAAACGAACAACGAACGAACGAACGAACGAACGAAAGAACGAACGAACGAAAGAACGAAAACGAACGAACGAACGAACGAAAGAACGAACGAACAAAAGAAACGAAACGAACGAACGAACGAACGAACGAAACGAAACGAAAGAACGAAACGAACGAACGAAACGAACGAACGAACAACGAACGAACGAACGAACGAACGAACGAACGAACGAACGAACGAACGAACGAACGAACGAAACGAAGAACGAACGAACGAACGAAAGAACGAACGAAGAACGAAAACGAAAACGAAACGAAAACGAACAAACGAAAACGAACGAACGAAACAAAGAACGAAAACGAACGAAAGAACGAACGAACGAACGAACGAAAGAACGAACGAACGAACGAACGAACGAACGAACGAAGAACGAAGAAAGACGAACGAACGAACGAAACGAACGAACGAAACGAACGAAACGAACGAACGAACGAACGAACGAACGAACGAACGAAACGAACGAACGAACGAACGAACGAACGAACGAAGAACGAACGAACGAACGAACGAACGAACGAAAACGAACGAACGAACGAACGAAACGAACGAACGAACGAACGAACGAAACGAACGAAAGAAGAACGAACGAACGAACGAACGAACGAACGAACTAACGAACGAACGAAAAAAAACGAACGAACGAAACGAACGAACGAACGAACGAACGAACGAACGAACGAACGAACAACGAACGAACGAACGAACGAACGAACGAAGACGAACGAACGAACGAACGAAGAACGAACGAACGAAAGAACGAACGAACGAACGAACGAACGAACGAACGAACGAACGAACGAACGAACGAACGAACGAACGAACGAACGAACGAACGAACGAACGAAGAACGAACGAACGAACGAACGAACTAACTAACTAATAACTAACTAACTAACTAACGAACTAACTAACTAACTAAATAACTAAACAAAACTAAACTAAACTAAAACTAACTAAAACTAACTAAACTAACTAACTAAACTAACTAACTAATAACTAACTAACTAACTAAACTAACGAACTAACTAAACGAACGAACTAACTAACTAACAAACTAACTACTAACTAACTAACTAACTAACAACTAACTAACTAACTAACTAACTAAACTAACTAACTAACTAACTAACAACTAACTAACTAACTAACTAACTAACGAACTAACTAACTAACTAACTAACTAACTAAACTAACTAACTAAACTAACTAACTAACTAACTAACTAACTAACTAACTAACTAACTAACTAACTAACTAACTAACTAACTAACTAACTAACTAAATAAATAACCAAGGCAGGTTATTATGCGTTTGTGTTAATGTTTTAGGCACAGGGAAGAAGCCTATTGAAAATGGTTGAAATCGGTTCATTATTTCATCTAGCCGCCATACAACCTTACCTTCTGATTTGGGGGTTTTTAAACTCATAACTACGTCAAATATTCTACTATCGCTCCAAAATTGGCCAATTTTTATAAAAATCGGCCGTCGTTTGACCCTAGCCCCGCTTTGAAATATATGTCTTAAACGTCCAAAAATTGACTTACAACCATTAGTATCGCGATGAAATTCAGCATAACTAAACTTCATATAAAAATATATACCTCCTCCCAATATATTAAGGATCAGCCCATATTTGACCCTAACTCCCATATAAAGCCTATTTTTGAAATTTAGTTTTTCATCGATAAATTGCTTAACACAAGCTTTACATGGACGGCCAGAGGGTCGAACATAGTTTGGTATACTTTTTTGGGGTATATGATCAATTGTCTTGTCCCGAAAGCTAAAAAGGTACCAAATTTGTATCACGTTCGAATTAAAGAAATATATTAAATCTGTTGGTTTTTCGAGTAGAAAATATTTGTTTAATAACAAATCAACTGTCAAGATTTCATTATTCTAGGTTCAGCCATTTCTGATGACTATTCTGTCACTCATTAACATGATTCTTTAATATATGTACATACATATATAGATTAGAATTAGTTTTTTATTTCATAAACAAAATATAAATTGTGTATGTTGTCACACACTATTTTTCGGTTCTGAATTATCTTATTAATATTTATTGTAGAAGGCAATTTGTGCTTATTTATTTAATCGTATAAGTTGAACTGAATATACAATTCTACTATTATCTCTCTAGTTTATTGTTTTTTTCACGTGCTGAAATTTTGTTTGTTGTTTTTTCGTTTTGCCGCCGGTTTTTAGAATGATAAGATGAACTGTTTCGGGTTTTAGATATGGATATGAATACACATTATTTTCACGTGTTAGTAAGTTTTTTTTGCAGAGGTTTTAAATTTGTTTTGGCAACCGGTTGGCGAAAATAAAAAAAAAAACCTTCATAGATTAATCAATTAAAGAAAGTACAATAATCACTTCATATGGGGGTGACCTGTCTATATATTTTTGTTTAATAATGTTTTTATTATCACGATGAATTTGTGTATTTTTTCTAGTCATCTGGGACATCTTTTTTGGTTTGAGTAGACTGATTTATCACTAAAATATATATAAAAATACGTGGAGGTCTCAAAAAACTATGTTTTCTAGATGCTTCAAGCAAACTCTTATCGCCAAGCGAGAATGGATTGAAACAAACAAAAATATCAAGATTAAAATTAATTTTATTTTTGTTTCCACTTCAAAATCTATAATTATCAAAACAGAAGTGACACACATAAATAGATTGCAAAAAAAAAATGTTAACTCACTGTTTTTTCGTTTCTTTTTCACGTGCCAAAATATAAATTTTGCCATGGCGATATCTGGGGGTTTGTTTAGAATTGAAATAGAAAGCACTGTCTTATCACGTGCTATTTTTTGGGATTAGCAACAAAGGGAGAACATTTAAAGTAGCATATATAACGAAATCTTAAATTTCTATTATTACTCTAGTCTAATTTTTCATCGAATAGTCAGTCCAAGAAGTTTTGTAAAGTGAAGTTTAAAGTTCAGCGTAAAGTCTATACTATATAGTAGACTACAGTCCAGACAATAGATTATTGTGTATACATAGTATTATCAATACCCTAGTAAATAGTTTGGGTTATAAGTAGTTCACTTTTAAACTATAATTCAGTTTATTTTCTGGTCTATAGTTTATTTTATAGCCTGGAATCTAGTCCACTCTACAGTTTGGTTTACTGGTTAGTATATAGTCTGGGCTATCGTTCAGCCTTTAGTCTGGACTGTAGTTCTTTGTGCTGTTGTTCAGTTTATAGGCTGGACTGAAGTTCAGTCTATAGTTTAGACTATAATTCAGTCTATACTCTTAATAATTGTTCAGTTTTAAGAATAGACAATAATTCAGTCTATAGTCTGGATTATAGTGTGCACTATAAAACAGTCAATAGTCTGAACTATAGTTCAATCTTAAGAATGGGTAATAGTTCAGTTCATCGTCTGGGCTATAGACCTGTCTATAGTTTGGACTACATTTTAGGCTGTAGTCTGGACTGCAGAGTCATCTATAGCCTGGTTTATAGTCTGCACTATAGTCTGCATTATAGTTCAGTCTTAGGAATGTCTATAGTTCAGTCTACTGTCTGGACTATATTTCATTCTACTATCTGAACTACAATTTAGTCTATTGTCTGGACTATATGTAAGTCTATGGTCTGACTATAGTTCCGTCATAAGAATAGACAATACTTCAGTCTAAACTACAGTTTAGTCTATAGTCTGGACTATAGTTCAGTCTATTGTCTGGTCTGTAATTTACTATATGGTATGACTATATATATATAATCTAACTATAGTTCAGTTTATAGTCTGAACTACAGTTTAGTATATAGTCTGGACTATAGTTCAGTCTATTGTCTGGTCTGTAATTTACTATATGGTATGACTATATATATATAATCTAACTATAGTTCAGTTTATAGTCTGAACTACAGTTTAGTATATAGACTGGACTATAGTGCAGTCTATAGTCTGACTGTAGTTCTGTCTATAGTCTGAATTATATTTAGCACTATAGTCTGAACTATATTTCACTCTATAGTCCGAACTATAGCTCAGTCTATACTCTGGACTATAACTCATTCTACACTTTGGGCCATAGCTTAAACTATAGTATGGGAATTAGTTTAGTCTATAGTCATAACTATAGTTTAGTCTATATTTTGGACTATAGACATGATTTTAGTCTAGTCCGCACTATGCCAGTTTTTAATGTGAAAGACCCTTCATTAAAATAATAATTCTTGAGATTTTCAATAAATCGACCATCCTATCTCGTAAGTTTTTGGAGAATTTGACAAACTACTCAGATAAATACTCGGATCATTGCAAAAGCTAGAATGTTACGAAAAAGTTGATAATTATACTTATTGATCTTTCATCGAATAGTCAGTCCAAGATGAATAGACTACCAGAGAGGTTATAGCTTGAAATACCGAAACAGGATATAAAACGATTTTTCAAAAATCAGGAGGACTAATTAATATAAACAATGGTAATTTTCTAGAAAGTTTAAATCAAGAAAGATCATATGTAGTTTTATACTTAAATCCATATTTTTTATTAATACTATAGATTTTACAATAAAATACATATTAAAACCAAAAAAATACAATTACTGCATCTTAGATTTCATCTCAAGGGGTTTACGATATAATATCAAACGCAAGGCAAACCAAGACAATGTCAAGATCAGTACAATGCAACCTATAACGAAAGCTATAACATCCAATAAATAGAATTGATACCATTTAAGATCTAAACCAGCTGATCTTAAATGGGTAGCACCATTATGTCGTATAACATATTCAATCCAATACATGGCAGTTTCACGAGCACCCAAAGGGCGATCATGGAAAATTTTCGAAATTCTCTTGATATTATTACGATAATAGGGATCGTAAAGTAATTTGTCCAGGGAATCTTTTAAAATTGGTTTAGTTATATCGGGAAAATGTAGACTAATGGCATAACCGCTTTGTACAGCTTTGCGCATATTTAAATGTTGATCACTATAGATGGGCATACCCAACATGGGTACGGCATAGTGAACTCCTTCCTGAGTGCCAAACAAACCACCATGAGTAATGAAGACTTTGACATTGGGATGAGCCAATATATCGGCTTGTGGTAACCAGGCTTTAATCATGACATTTGGTGGTAGATTGGCTATACTTTCATTTTCAAATTTCCAAAGTATGCGCTCTTTCATGGAGGCAAAGACTTCAAGGAATATTTGAAGCTTTTCAGTAGGCATATCTTTCGATTGAACATTGCTGCCTGTTCATGAAAAAAGGGAAAATTATTAAAGATTTGATTTGCTTTTAAAGCGTTTAAAGAGAAACTTACCCAAACTGAAATAAATGACGCCATTTTCAGCCTCATCTAAGAATGTTTTAATATCTTCTGGCAGTTGTTTGGGTGGATAGATGTGCATGCCTCCTATGGGTACCATACCGGTAATTGAGGGCCGGGAGGTGGTTAAAGGTGTATGACTGTTAAGCAGCATTAACGAGATATTCTTTTCCATATGGGAAACGGGAGGAATATTAACTGAAAATATATAGTTTTTTTTTTTTAACTTAAGCATATGAGTAGCAGGATCCATACTTACCTTTCAAATGACCAAAATATTGCTGCACCAATTTATCCATTTTCGGAAATAAATCCCATTCTCTAGTTAAATCTTCTGCCAGTGAATAATAACTATTTTTAAGACGTTCCATAAAACCCATATGGTCGGTCAGGGGCAAAAAACCATGGGGTACAAATGACCAGGGCGTTATCACGCCCATCATTTGACTCATATGATTTTCATAACCCAAAGTACTGCTAGTCACTACAGGTATATCGTATATATAGGACAGTGCTAAAAAGGGTTCCTGATAGAATTGTTCGGCCAATAGTAAATCATATTGTCCCTTCGGCTGGGGATGATTAATGATTTCTTGTACGTTGGGTTGTTTTAAGGCATGTTCGGTGGTTTTCATACCGAGTATATCCAACATTTTTAGAAAATCGAAAAATTGCATTTCGGATAATTCGAAAATATTGTCGGCTTTAAAGGATTGTATAACTAAAGAATATAATATTTACATAATTAATAGAGTTGGGGTTCGTTTTGATCATACCACTTACTATCACTCCAAAAATCATAAACTGGTTCTATCAAAACTTCTGTATAGTTGGCTCCCAATTTTAAATCCTTTAAGCTGAAAGCTGTTATCATTGTCACTTGATGACCTCTCTGTATAAGTTCCTTTATGATGGTTTTGTGCATCATGAAATGACTTTTACCGGGAAATACATATACTGCCAGAATTTTTGAACTCTCAACTTGAGCTGGACTTATACACAGCATCCAGAGGAGGGAAATTGTTAATGTTGAACATATTAAATATTTGAGGTGCTTTTTACGTTTCCATTAATATTTAGGTAAAATTATTTGTTGTAATTGAAGAAAAAAATATATAAAAGATAAATTATAAAATATATATTGGGTTTTGGACATGTAGAAATAATCACTCCCTAATTTAGTAGATATTTAAGAGAACCTTTTAGTTCGTGTATTGAATTTGATTAGATTGGCAAGTGATACATCATATCAGAAGTCTAAGTGAATTCCTATTTAGGGCCATATTTGGAGACGACGTTAGACTACCAGATGATTTATTTTCAAGTAGTTTTAGCGGACCAGCTGAGTGCCGTTTGATCATATATGTATATAGTTAAAGTTATAGTCTGGATTATAGTTCAGTCTTTAGTATGGACTTTAGTTCAGTAGTATGGACTTTAGTATAGACTAAACTATAGTCTAGACTATATACTTGAATAGATTTTGGACTATAGTCTGGGCCATAATATATAGCATGTATCACTCTATAGCTAGGTCTATAGTTCAATCTGTAATCTTGATTATAGTTCATTCTATAGTATGGATTATAGTTCAGTCTATAGTTGGACTATATAACAGTCTATAGTCTGGACTATAGTTCAGTCTATAATTGGACTATAGTTAAGTCTATAGTTGGACTATAGTGCTGTCTATAATCTGGATTATAGTTCAGTCTGTAATCTTGACTCTAGTTCAGTTTATAGTTGGATTATAGAACAGTCTATAGTCTGGACTATAGTTCAGTCTATACTTGTACTATAGTTCAGTCAATACTTGGACTATATTTCAGTCTATACTTGGACTATAGTTCAGTCTATAGTCTGCAATTTAGTTTATAGTTTAGACAGTACTTCAGTCTAGAATCTGGACTATAGTTCATTCTTTTTGTAAACTTTTTTCCAATGACGGACACATAGATTGGATGGTTGACTGAGATCACTTGTAATATAACAAAGATCATGTCGGCAAAGTGTGACCTACACCGCAGTGTGTGTAAAAAGGAAGAAGAATCTGTTTATTAGATTTTTCTGTTGTTTTCAGGACTTGGCAGAATCTATCCGAAATGGATATCTGGGAAATGCTTGCGTGTAACGTATTGCTTTGGATAAGAACTAAGTCATGCTAAAGTGTACTAATTACTCCGAACCATTACGAGGTTTTATGCCACAATTTTTGAATCCAAAACTAGATAGTTTTTACTTATAACGAGCTCTGTTATGATCAGTTTTAAAAATTAGTATATTAGTTTAAAACATTATTTATTTACCATTTTTTCACATTAATTTCATTAACTTTTCTACTTAATGAACCGCACTTTCACAGGCAAATAATAATAAATGTGTGGAAAAACTATTCTCTCTTAATTGAAATATTTCTACCGATACTGATGATGATGAAATGATTGAAATGATTGCCTTGACTCGGACAAGGTGCACTATAGTATTATGATCGTCAGTGTTTGATCAACTACTAAATTGATAATAGAGAAATTAAATAAATTGAAAACTATATCTGCGTTCTAAATTTATTTCCTATTTTGTTAATTTATCAAAAAAACTGCAATTCATGCTTTACGTTGATGTGTAAATCGGCAGTTGGAAGAACAAATATATATAAAATTCTAATCACTAAACAAATTCTTACAACTACTACTTACTCATTCATTAGGTACTTGTACTAAATAAATAATTTAACTTGCGTTTTTTTAAAACAATTGTCATAGTTCTGTCTATAAACTGTCTATAGTTCTGTATATAATCTCACTATAGTTCAGTTTCTAGTCTGAACTATAGCTCAATCTATAGTCTAACTATAACTTTGTCTATAACTCTGGACTATATCCCATTCTCTAATCTAATCTTCAACCAATGAATAATAGCTATTCTTAACGCGCTCCATAAAACTCATATGATCGGTCAAGGGCATAAAACCATGAGGAACAAATGACCAGGGCGTTATCACGCCCATCATTTGACTCATATGATTTTCATAACCCAAAGTACTGCTAGTCACCACTGGTATATCGTATATATAGGACAAGGCCAAAAAGGGTTCCTGATAGAATTGTTCGGTCAATAGCAAATCATATTGTCCCTTCGGGTGGGGATGATTAATGATTTCCTGTACATTGGGTTGTTTTAAAGCATGTTCGGTGGTTTTCAAACCGACTATATCCACCATTTTTAGAAAATCCAAAAAGTCCATTTCGGTCAATGCGAAAATATTGTCGGCTTTAAAGAATGGTATAACTAAATAATATAGAAAAATAATAATTGTATAATTAATAAACAAGATAAACAATTTTGATTATACTACTTACCATCACTCCAAAAATCATAAACTGGTTCTATCAAAACTTCTGTATAGTTGGCACCCAATTTTAAATCCTTTAAGCTGAAAGCTGTTATCATTGTTACTTCATGACCTCTCTGTATGAGTTCTTTGATGAGGGTTCTATGCATCATAAAGTGACTTTTACCAGGAAAGGGATATACGGCCAGAATTTTTGAACCCTCAACTTGTTCTGGACTCATACACAGCATCCACAGGAGGGAAATTGTTAACGTGGAATATATTAAATGTTTGAGATACTTATCACGTTTCCATCAATATATTTGTAGGCAAAATTATTTGTTGTAAATGAAGAAGAAAGATATAAATGTTAAATTATAAAATATATATTAGGTAGAAATTGTCACTCCCTAATTTAGTAGATCTTTAAGAGAACCACTTAGTTCGTTTAACAAATTTGATGAGATTGCTAAGTGACACATCAGATCAGAAGTCTAAGTGAATTCCTATTTAGGGCCATATTTGGAGCCGACGTTAGACTACCAGATGATTTATTTTCAAGTAGTTATAGCGGACCAGCTGAGTGCCATTTTATCATATATGTATGTATATAGTTAAAGTTATAGTCTGGATTATAGTTCAGTCTTTAGTATGGACTTTAGTTCAGCACCTAGTATAGACTAAACTATAGTCTAGACTATAGAATATATTTCGAATAGATATCGGACTATAGTCTGGGCCATAATATGTATCATGGATCACTCTATAGTTAGGTCTATATAGTTCAGTCTAGTTGATCTATAGAACAGTCTATAGTCTGGACTATAGTTCAGTCTATAATTGGACTATAGTTCTGTCTATAGTCTGGATTATAGTTCAGTCTGTATTCTTAACTATAGTTCAGTTTATAGTTGGATTATAGAACAGTCTATAGTCTGGACTATAGTTCAGGCTTTAGCTGGACTATAGTTCAGTTTATAGTCTGGAATATAGTTTAGTCTATAGTTTGGATTATAGTTTAGTCTATAATTTGGATTACAGTTCAGTTTATAGTTGGACTATAGAACAGTCTATAGTCTGGACTATAGTTCAGTCCACACTTTGACTATAGTTTAGTCTATAGTCTGGACTACAGAACGGTCTATAGTCTGGACTATAGTTCAGTCTGTAATCTTGACTATAGTTCATTCTGTAGTTGGACTATAGAACAGTCTATAGTTTGGACTATAGTTGAACTATAGTTCTGTCTATAGTCTGGACTATAGTTCTGTCTATAGTCTGGACTATAGTTCAGTCTGTGATCTTGATTATAGTTCCTTCTATAGTATGGACTATAGTTCAGCCTAGAGTTGGACTATAGAACAGTCTATAGTCTGGACTATAGTTCTGTCTATAGTCTAGACTATAGTTCAGTCTGTAATCTGGACTATAGTTCCTTATATAATCTGGACTATAGTTCAGTCTATAGTTTGATTAAAGAACAGTCTATAGAGCAGTCTATAGTCTGTACTATAGAGCAGTCTATAGTCTGGACTATAATTCAGTATATACTTGTATTATAGTTTAGTCTATACTTGGACTATAGTTCAGTCTATAGACTGGAATTTAGTTTATAGTTTAGACAGTACTTCAGTCTATAATCTGGACTAAAGTTCATTCTTTTTGTAAACTTGCTACCAATGACGGACACATAGATTGGATGGTTGACTGAGACCACTTGTAATATAACAAAGATCATGTGGGCAAAGTGTGACCTACACGGCAGTGGGTGTAAAAAGGAAGAAGAAACTGTTTTTCTGTTGTTTTTATGACTTGGCGGAATCTATCCGAAATGGATATCTGGGAAATGCTTGCGTGTAACGGATTGCTTTGGATAGGAACTAAGTCTTTCTAATGTGTACTAATTACTCCGAACCATCATCAGGTTTTATGCCACAATTTTTGAATCTACAACTCGGTAATTTTTGCTTATAATGAATTCTGTTAGAAACATTTTTAAAAATTAATGTCTTTAATTTAAAATAATTTTTACTAACCATTTTTTCACATTAATGTCCGCACTTTCTTATGCATATAATAAATTGCTGCATGGAAAAAAACTTCTCTCTTAATTGAAATTTTTCTACCGACACTGATGATGATGATATTGAAATGATTGCCTTGACTTGGACAAGGTGTACTATTATGATCGTTAGTGTTTGATCAACTACTAAATTGATAATAGAGAAATTAAATAAATTGAAAACTATTTCTGCGTTCTAGTTTTATTTTTTTTGTTAATTTATCAAAAAAAAATGCAATTCATGCTTTACGTTGCTGTGTAAATCGGCAGATAGGAGAGCAAATATATATAAAATTCTAATCACTAAACAAATTGTTACAACTATTACTTACTTACTTATTCTTTTATTAGGTATTTGTACTTAAATAAATAATTTAACTTGCGTTTTTTTTAAACAATTGTCATTTTCTTTCAAACAAACAAAAAAAATTTAATTACCCCTATAAAAATAACACAAATAAATTTATTTTTAAAATGAAATGTACTTTTGTTTACGGTTTCACTTAAGTACCTAAGTATTACAAAATTATCTAAATAATTAATATTAGTGGGTAGTAGGCATTAATTTAAAAAATATTACAAATTCATTACAAAACACTTTATTTCGTAATCGATCAATTAAAATAAAATTTGTTTATAAATAGTTGTGAAAAGTTTGAATGACATATAAAGTGATTGGTTACGCAGTGATTAGAATTTTTTATTATTATTTTATAATTTATGTTAATAACTTTAATGATAAACCCATATCAGTTACAAAATCTCCTAAAGAATTTTAAGTTTTAATTTAACTCATCGCTCTGAAACGCTGAATCCGAATCTGGCTGACATATCTTTCCTCTTCTTCCAGATATCTTCACCTATAGTTTGATGCAGCAGTAAAATGAGAAAAAATAAGATATTATCCGTTGAAATTGACGGACGGACAGACATCATTAAGTCAAATCAGAAAGTGACTTTGAGTCGATTAGAACAGTAGTGGATTCAAAATTTTCAAAATGATTTCAAAAGTTCGTTATAAACAATATTTACAAAGCATAATACCCTCCGCACTATAGTAGTGTAGCGTATAAATACCAGGAATATACCGAAAACCATGAGTTTTCAAGTTTTAGGTAAAGATATCTCGAAGGAAAAAGAAGATATATAAACTTAACAGAGTGAAATTTCACATGACATACAACATTTTATAAATAAAGTTGTCTTGGTGCTGTTATAACGTCTCAAAAAGGACTAAAAATGGCGTGTTTTTTAAATTTCAAGACACGATATCTCATCCCGGATGTGATGGAGAAAATCGAATTTAGGATTTAGTTCAGTCCTTTAGAAAAGTCTAACTTGGCCTCAGGGTTTCGATTTCTTTTTCAAACTTTGTCGCCCTGTGTTATTTATAGATCAATATAGTAGTCATATCATCGTAATGATACGAATAATTGTATCGATTTTTAATCGCTCGATGGAAATAATACCATGGATCTGCACTGTTAGTCCCTGTATTGTTAGTAAAACTATGTTTAATATTAGTCTATGTGATACTGTCTATTTTCCCCTTTAGAAAATGGCTTTAAGATCAAAAATAATCTTATACCTGTCTGTCAAGTCTGGATCTTCTATTAAACATCACCTTATACTGGTTCCCAGCTCATAGAAACTACTATGTATGGAATCTGATTGAAATATATCCAATGCTACTTCAGATTCTTTAAAATGCTGAAAATAAGTGGAATAATCTAGACACCAGCAAAATGGATATTAAAGTGGACCTCTTTCGATCAAAAACACACTATATAAATTGGACTTCCCATTGGAAACATTCACAGTTGCAAATATAGAGAATAGTAAGAAACGGTCTACCATGGTCTATATGGAAATGTCCTACCCTAATCGACCTGACAAATAGATTGCTTGAAAACTTCACTATATAAAACTTTGACGAGTTATCTGGGTCGAAAATTAATGGCTAGTAGTAGAGGGATCTATAGCAATGACATTCGATATAAAAAAGTTTCATGAGAATCAAATCTCTTTAGCAAATTTGATAGAATAGGCCCACAATTGAACCTACCACTTATATAAGGTCTCTTTCAGAAAATGCTTAGGAGTACCAGAAATACTGTGAAATACGAAATAAACAAGTTTTATAGAAACTAAATGACTATTCTAATTGTTATAAGGATCGATGCAAATTGGCTCTAAGCCAGATTTTTATAAATTCAAATGTTTAGGGGGGTTAAATCGGATAAATTCGGTAACCTCATATCTTCTATACTAAAACAATTTCAAGATTATCGTCTCGTACTTTTCACAAATTCGCCCCTTTTCGAGAGTAGACGGGTAAGAACTGTATTGTCGTACTTATAGGACATTATATTGTCGTACTTATACAAAAACTATTTTTAACTTCTTCCTAGTTAGTTAGATATAAAGAAGGATGTATACATCAGATCCGAAGAAATACACCTAGGCCTCTATTGGGCCAGTTGTGCGCTCCTTAACCAGTGCCT